ATTCACGGGGCTGCAGCCTCGGAAACTCATCACCTCCCAAAGACCTCCTGACAGCATCGCATTGAGGATGAGGATTTCAACCTGTGTTTTGGGGGACAGGCAGGCGGTTCATAACCGTCAGCCTCTTTGTGTATTTCTGACTCAACATTGAGTCTGCATTGGGCTGTCCAGGGGACAGAGCCTATGTGGACACTGAGCGAGGTCAGAGCTGCAAGCATGTACACATCGGGGGTAGGGGAGCTGCCAGGGCTGCAAGAACGGTGTTTCAGCATCAATCGGAGCTACTTTCCTGGCAAACGTACTCATAAGCTATCCTGGCAACATTAGCTTTTCATGAAGAGTCGATCAGGCAGTGGGGGCAGCAGGCGGTGTTGCCAGAAATTTGGAACTGATGGGCAGCAGAGAAGGAGCAGAGGCCACGACCTTGGTGTGGTCAGAAGTGCCAGGTGTCTGCCCTCCAGGCCTCATGCCTGTGACTGCAGAGACTGAGCCGACCGGGGCTTGCCGGCCAGTGTGGCTCTCATGCAGGTGATTATCGGGGTGTGCTTTCTATGTAATGTTCCCTCAACCCCATCCCCACCCCACCAGTTTCTGTGCCTAGCAGAAATCATGCTGCTCTCCTTGATGAAGCATTGAGTTTCCTATGGAGGTGTAGGAATAGCACAATTTGGCTCACATCAAAATACTTTGCAGTGAAGCTGCACAGAACAGGATTTTAGGCTTCCATTTGACGTTTCAGACAATGCCTGAGTGTTACAGGGCCCTCTTGCTTGTTAAAAAACACCAGATGAGAAAGGCTACTGGTTAATAAGGGAGACGTTTTACATTAGCACAGAGAGGGTGGCTTGAGATAAATTCAGTGTAACGTAGGTGTGTTTGTAAGCCGTGAAAGGGACCATCTCTCTGCTGGCGACACATGTTTTCTGGTATGGATTTTGTTCTGAAAAAGGATGACTGGCATTCGGTAGAATCATTCCAAAATTCACCTGGAAGGCATCCACATGGTGCCTTGTTTTCTCCTGACATTCTGGGCACCACGAGGAATTATTCTTGTCTTCAGCACTAGCAGGAGACTTCCTCAACACCTGCTCCTCTTTGGCGTTGTGGGTGTGAAGGGGTCAGAGTGACCCTGTCTTCATGGAGATTTCAGACACCATGGGGACAGTGCGGCATGATGTCGGGCTCGGGTGGGATGGAGGCTTTCCCCAGAAAACAGCTGCTGATTCCAGGGCAGCCCTCGACCCCTCCTCCTTCTGTTCCTCCACGTCATGTCTGAATTAAGGTGGTTCTATCATAGCGGGGGTGTCATGTTAACTGGAAGTGTGCTTTTGTTCTGGGCGGTAAATAAATTAATGGTACATTTGTCAAGGACAGCGAGATTTGATTTGAGGAATCCAATGTGGAAAAGGAGAAGGGGCTTGGCTTGGTGGGGACGTGTGTGATGGCAGCAGAAAGGAACAGCTGTACAGGCTGGTGGGATGGAGGGGCCGCGCCCGCATTTCCATGGGGTCTGTCGATGTTTGTGCCACTAGACCTGAACCTCTGTCTCCACTTCTAAAACCTGCATGGTGAGGAAGCCCCTGATGGGCCTGAGTTGTTACTTCCCGTGGTCATTGCTGGGAAGGGCCCCGGACGCCTCTCCTGGCTGGTGACGGCCCCGGGCCTGGACACTAGGTTCGTCCTGAGCTCTGCGAGGGGCTTGGGCTCCACGCGCAGCAGGTACCGGCACATGCCTTTGGACGTGAGATGTTGGCGCTTGGCTTGGAGGCCACCGCGATATGGGTGTGGTCAGGACTGGCTCATCCTTTGGGGAGAGAGCACCTGCCTGGGGGCTTCTCTGAGGTGCATAGCCCTGCAGTGCCCTCATAGGATGCCATGTCCTTTGGGCACTTCCTGCCATTCCCCTGGACCCTCAGGTGTGGGAGCCAAGTGTGGTGTGTCTGTCACGGGAGGGGGGTGCTGAGGATACCACATGCCTGCTCATGCGAAGACCCGAGGCGCTGCGTGGGCTTGTTTCTAGGGGGCCGTTGGCGTCTGGGGGCCTGTGGGTGTCTTTCCACTGGCAGGAAATAATGGGTGGCCCATGTTACCTTTTTTGCCTTTTTTTTGCCAAAAAGCCCTAATGCCAACGTTGTTGTCCCACTGTGGGAACCACCCATCTCAGGCTCACTGGCCCTTCTGTTTCTGGGCTGTTGCAGTGTTGTGTTGGGATAACTGTGTTAACTTCGTTTGAATTTTCTTCCTGTTCCTTTGGAATAAGTGTTGATAGCTTGTGCTGCTTGTTCACCCCAGAGGCGATGGTGTCCTTTAGGCCTGGCAGAGCACAGCGGTGCAGGGAGGTGCTGGGCCTCGGCCTCCCTTGTCGGCAGCCCTCAGTGCACGTGTGCTCTTCACTCCTTGTGCACATGGCTGGGGTCACGGACTGCTCGCTCTGCTGTTTGAGATCGTCTGAAAAGGTGGTGTTTACACTGAAGGGAGATTGGGGGTGTGCGGCTGATTTTAAATAGGAGGAAATGACGGTAACAGAATGAGCAATGCCTAGCACTTAGTCTCAGGCCTGAGAAATTGTGTTTTAGAAGCAAGGTATCCTCAACTCCGGTTTTCTTCAAATTAAATCTTTTAAAGGGTCCACAAATAAAATAGTTAAAGCCTAAAACTATGTAACAGAGGGCCTAGAGCCCAACCACTGCCACCTCTGATTCCAAGACACCTCAGCAACTTGGTCCTCTTCCTCAGAGAACCCCGCTTCTGCTCCTCCCTCCCACGCTCCTCTTCCTCCCCCTCCTCCCTTTCCCTGGACAGCCCTCCCCTTCCCCCCTTCCTCGGACAGCTTTCTTCCTCCTCTTCTCCCTGCCTGTCCTTGGGCAACCTCCTTGGAACTCCAGTTGAAATTCACTGGTTGTGGGGCCGCCCATTTGACAGACGAGCATGCTGAGGCCAAGGCACAAGTGAGTGACTCAGACCCGCGCAGAGGCTGACCCAGAGGCCGTACCAACGGGTTGTCACTAATGCAAGAGAAGCAATGATGCGGCTTCACTGATCTCCAGGGAAAGCAGGTCGATAACAGGTTATAAACATGGGAACATTTTGGAAAAGCCGTCGTCCACCTGTCAGCTCCATCTCTCCTGCCTGGAAGATGTAGGGAGAACCTGCCTTCAGCCCACCCTCATCCCGTAACAGGACAGAGGACAAAGGGCAGAGACCCAAGTCCTGTCAGTGCCCTCAGGAAACCCCCGTTTCCTCCTCACGGTGGAAGTGGGAAACCATCCCGCTGGATGATCTTCCCGGGGAGACCCTCCACCCTCAAAGCAGGAATCTGGTTTGAGCGCACACACATTCTTGGTGCCATCACTTTCTGCGGCTGAACACTGCGTACGTGGCCCGTTATTCTTGCTAGTCCGGTGTTACTGGGTCCTGGGAGTTTCTGTGGGCTGATGGCAAGTGTTTACCATTGTGTTTAGAGAGAACAGAACTTTTTTGTGTCGAAATCACATGATAACCATTGCCATGTGATTCCTTGGGTTGATTGGGGCGGGGGATGCTCACGTTTTTCTGAGGTCTAAGTGCTTGTTTGAGACCAGTCTCACTTTGTCACCCAGGCTGGAGTGCAGTGGTGCGATCTTCGCTCGCTGCAACCTTTGCCCTCCTGTGTCAAGCAGTTCTCCCTGCCTCAGCCTCCCGATAGCTGGGATTATAGGTGTGTGCCACCACGCTTGGCTAATTACAAAAATTTCTAATACAGGAAGGGTTTTGTAGTATTGGCCAGGCTGGTACTCGAACTCCTTACCTCAAGAGATTGGCCCACCTTGCTCCTAAAATGCTGGATTACTGGCTTGAGCCACTGTGCCCCGGCCAATCCTGACATCTTTTAAAGCTGCCTTCATGTACCAAAAAGCCAGTCTATGTTTGAAAATCAGCCTTGTTGAAGAGGCCTAAGAGGAGAGGGATATACTTTCAGCTAGGTAAATAACTATGCATATGTTAAAAATATGGGCCAAAATCTATCCCAAATATTAACCTTCTGCTTTGCGTTTTATATCCATTAATGGTTATTCTTTCAGTATTAAGATTTTTAAAGATTCTTTTGATAATTGTGAACAAATTACTATTAAACTCAGCTGCATTTGTAACACTTTAAAAGAACAACTGATGACATTATTTTCTCGGAGGCATTTTGGATAGTTACATAATTGTTTATCTCTTTGCCAGAAATCTTTTTTTTTTTTCCCAGAGCAGAAACCTGAAAAGAAACATTCCTTTGCATTAAGTGCTATTTCACTGTGTGACAATCAAGTTTTGAATGTGAGAACAAGATCATCGTGTATTTTTGGGATAATCTTGCTTAATAGTGATAATGCTAAGGTTAAAATTATGGAATAGTTTGTTTCTTTGAAAATTACTATTTGCCTGCTCACCAGATGGGAGCTGATGAGAATGTGGATGTAAAGTTAAATTGTATTTAGCTTGTATAAAAGAAGTTTAAAAAAGCTTTTTTGTTTTGTGCTACTACTGAAGTTGCTTAGCTGTGGAAATGAGGTGATTGCAGCACCTAGAATTTATCTCCTTCACTTCCACGATGGGAAGAAATTCTCCAAGAAGCACAGGAATCTGACTTTCTGATATGAGACTCCTAGACGTCAAGCCCCATGGAAGGGGTGGTGATTACATGAGCGTTGGCGTTGATGTGGGCATCCCTCCAAAGCCAGATGCAGGGAGCAGGGAAGGGGCAGAAAGAACAGGCCCCTCAGGAGCCATGAGAAAATAAAGTGTTGGCAGCATGGTGAGGGTTGGTGTCAGGGGCCAGGAAGAGGTGGCGAAGGGGAGCATGTGCCTCAAGCAGCCCTGGAACCCGCAGTCCCTGCAGTGAGGTCTGATCTGCAGGGGACATGGACGGCCAAGCGGCAAGGCCCACAGAACAGCCTGGACTCTGCTGCCTCAGAACTCTGTGTGGACGTTGCAAACGGCCCCACAGGGTTGCAGTGCACATTCCTCAACAGAAAGAAGACGCTTGGAACTGTTCCCGGCACGAAGCCAGTGCCCTGTGAACAGTGGCTGCTGCTGTCGTGACTGAGTGCCGTCCAACTGGGGACATTTGCTCTGCTCAGTTCACTGCCTTCAACAAGCTTGACGCATTGAACGAGGGCTCAGTCGATAATGTACTCTGTAAATACTCTCTCCCGGCTAGAGTGAGCAAAGCCCAGGGAGCGGGTGGTTCTTCAGTATTACTCAGGTGTTTGTGGCAGGGCCAGCTGTGCGGCTGCCAGAGCGAATGTGACCAGGAAGCCTCTGTCCCCCCGAGGTGGCCAGCGATCCTGTTACATGTGCCATAGGCAGAAGGTGGGCACTGCTGGGGAACTTGCTCATGTTCCTGTTTTCTGATTGGAAATTCAAGGTTTCTGAGCATCCTACTTCGAATTTGTACATTGCTGAGACTTGTACACATTTCAACGCTTGTTTTTCTCTGCTTTTCAGATCTATACAACCTGGCGTTTGGCCGTGGCTTCCAGGACAGGCTGGATGCAGAGTGAAGTCCTCTCCTCACTGTCAATGTTTGCAGATGTCTTCTTGTATAAACTTCGTATTTCTTGAGACTTTCAATTAGGTTTTTACTTAACTGGACTTTTAAAATTGCCATGCACATAACTCTACCAGTTAGAATCTTGAGCTAACATGGGTTTTTGGTTTTTGGTTTTTGGTTTTACTTTGATGAATGTTTAACATTTGCATGCTGGATGTGGGGGTGGAGGTCATTTATCTGCTTTTCATTGCCTTCTTGGTTATACTTAGTGACTTTCAGGTAAGGTGTGGAAGGCGTGGTACAGGGTGAATTGCAGGCCGCACTGTGGCGCCGTGGAGGACAGGTGCGGGCTGCAGTGGTGTGCACAGTGGATGAGAGACAAGAGAGACTTCCATCCTTGAGGGAAAACACAACAATTTAAAAAAAACTGATCGTCTAGCTTACATGAGGTCCAACAAATTCAGTTTGCAAAGTTTAACTTCCAAGTTAATTTAGTAATTTTTCCCCTAAGTCATTAATTTAGTAGCTTATGTTTAAATATATTTCTTTTGTCTAAAGGAGGCCATAAATTCTAAAATGAATGACTAAACATGTAATAATTTAGGCATACAGCACCTGAAGGGAAAACTGCCAGTATGCTAAAATATTGGATACAGATGCTTTTAAAAAATATAATGTAGCATTCTTACAATGCATGTGCTCTTAGCGTGTAACTTGGTGGGTAGTTTTGAACTATATTTGTGGGAATGTGTATCTTGAATACTTGAGGCTACCACTGCAGATGTGTGTGTGAGATGTATAAATACTGAATGTTATTCTCCCTTCCCTTAAATGAAAACATTAGCTCCCTTTTATTTTCATTTTTATTTTTTATTTTTTGAAGTGGACTCTTGCTCTCGTTGCCCAGGCTGGAGTGCAATGGCACAATCTCGGCCCACTGCAATTTCTGCTTCCCGGGTTGAAGTGATTCTCCTCTCTCAGCCTCCTGAGTAGCTGGGACTACAGGCACCCGCCACCACGCCCAGCTAATTTTTGTATTTTTATTAGAGATGGAGTTTTGCCATATTGGCCAGGCTGGTCTTAAACTCCTGACTTCAGGTGATCTGCCCACCCCGACCTCCCAAAGTGCTGGGATTACAGGCGTGAGCCACCGTGCCCAGCCAGCTCCCTTCTGTAATGATTTTTTATACAGTTGTTTTTGCTTTTTGTTTTTTTGAGACGGGGTCTCACTGTGTCACCCAAGCTGGAGTGCAGTGATGCAAATCTAGGCTGACTGCAGCCTTCACCTCCTGGGCTCAGGTGATCCTCCCACCTCAGCTTCCTGAGTAGCTGGGAATAGACACATGTCACCACGCCCAGCTAATTTTTTTTTTTTTTTTTTTTTTTTGTATTTTTAGTAGAGACAGGGTTTTGCCATGTTTTCCAGGCTGGTCTCGAGCTCCTGGGCTCAAGCGATCTGCCCGCCTCAGCCTCCCAAACTGCTGGGATTACAGGCGTGAGCACCACATCTGGCCCATTTTTTTTTTTTTTCCTTCCAGGATTAGAAGTCGACTTTCAGAAAACCCTTCAACCTTGCAAACTTAATTTTCCATAACAATATGCCTCTAGGATAAAAACAAGACAGAAAGAAAGTATGTGTGGACTGCAGTTAAAAATTTTCTACACAGCATAGCTTAGGAGAGTTGACATTTACAAAGAGCAGGAGGCCCCTTCAGTGCCTTCTAGGCATTGGGAATGGCGGTCTGTGGGCGACCCTAACGTGTGCGGCGTCCTGAGACTTGATCGTGGTGCTCACGCTTTTCCCGAGGGCCCACCGGGAGTACCAGAGACTCTTCTTCTGCAGTCGGCCAGCCAGGCAGCAGCTGCTGGAGAAGGAACAAACAGTAAAAGACAGATGTACACGGTGTTGTTGTGGCAGAGAGGTTAAAACCAGGCTCACTCTGTTCTTACAGTTTTAAAAAAACTAATAATGAAGTCCTTGAATAT